GAGAGAGAGAGAGAGAGAGAGAGAGAGAAAGAGAGAGAGAGAGAGAGAGAGTAGAGTGTGTTGTGATCTTGGCTTGCGCGTGTGTGCGCGTGCTCTTACACTGTATGCTCAGATGACGCTCTCTCTCTCTCTTCTCTCTCTCTCTCTCTCTGTGCGAAAGAAAAAAAACACTGGTAATGTCATCATTAATTGTCAGATAAAATGAGAAGTGGAGTCTTTTCGCTTGTTTTGTTGTGTCTCTCGCTGTCTCTGTGGTTCTGCCGCGGTCTCTCTTCATCTCTGACTCTCCTACTGTCTTGCCCCTATCGATAGCGCGCCATCTCTCTCTCCCTCTCTCTCGATGCTATCGCTTCCATCTCTGTCTCTCTGTTTCTCCAAAAGGATTGACAACCTATTTCTGGCGGTTTCGTTGTTGTCATTTTTTGGCGCTGACTGTGATTGGGAGCTTGGCGCGTGCGATGAATCGGATCGGTCTTTGCCGTATGATGCCCCGCCTGACCTCATCAAGCTCAACCTCGCTCGTCCCTGCTCTGTACTCGCTTGTTCTCGCTTGATCCCTCTCGATCCCTCTCTTCCTCGGACCCTTTCTACCTCCACACACTTCCCAGCATCGATCTCTCGAGACAGCTTGGATCTACACCCACCCCTTCATCTATTGCTCACGTTGAACATTGCTCGGGCCACGACCACTCTATTTTCAGTTGAGCGGGTCCTGCCTGGTTTTGCTGCCTGTCTTTCACTGATACGTCTCCTGGCGCTCGCTATCCGTGCAAAAGCCTCTGTACGATGAGGCTCGGGGCGTGCAGCAAGCAGCATGCTCTCTGCCGTCATCGGAGGATCATGAACCTTCTGGCCGTCCTACTCGTCCTAGCACCGCTGACCTGTCGAGCAGAGGTGTTGCTGCAACTACAGGGCACAACCACCCGCTCCTTTGACTCGGTGGCCGCCGGCTTTGGACCGCGCCTACCCTCTGAAGGTCTGACTGGCCAGCTCTTTGTCGCCGACCCTACAGATGCTTGCACAACCATCGTCAGCCCCCCGTCCAATCGTACCTCCAGCGTCGCTCTCGTTCGACGTGGTCCTTCGCCCACCTGTGACTTTGGCGTCAAGGTATGCATGCTCGCGCAGGATGCACCTGCAGGCACCCAGAGCCAAGTGCACAGAGGTTTTCCCCACACGAACGCCCTGTATCCAACTGCACGCCTTTGATTTTTTTCTGGGTGTTTTTTTTTTCTCTTTTGGAAGAAAGGTGGGGTGCTGTGTGTTTGTTTGTCAAGCAGTGGTGCCTCACGGCCAATGTTTTTGCAACTGCGAACTAGGTGCTTGTGGCCCAGCAAGCTGGCTTCTCGGCCGTCATTGTGTATGACTCCAGCAATGAGCACCTCATTACCATGGAATCAACACGTACGCTCAGTTCGCCCTTCCTCTTTTTATATTCATCCATTGCCATGAAGCTTCTTTTTTTCAATATCATGCATCTTCGGGCCAACAGAGCACGTCGATATTCCTTCGGTTTTTGTTTCCGAGGCATCGGGCCAAGAACTTCTGGCACACCAGTGCGTATCAACATCCTCGTACCCTCAAAGCGCTGACAAGCATCCTCGATGCCTCTGCCTTTTGTTCGCCTGCTGATGAAAGTTGTTAACACCCATTTGTGCATGTGGCTGCTTGCAGAGCTGCGATTGTGACGCTTCGTGGCGATGCAACGCGTAGTTGGTCGACCCTTGTCATGTCCTTCATCGTCCTGGCAGTCACAACCATCACCTCCTTCACTGTCGCCATGGTGTGTTTTTGCCTACAGCCATGCTCGTAACGTGAGCATCATCCGGTCGCCCCTCTGACCACGTTACACCTCGATGCGCTCGCTTAAACACCGTTCTCTAGCTTTTTTGGTATAACCGACGGCGCTATGCGCCTTTGGCCGAGTTGGAGCGTGTGCTTGGTCCAGAAAACCCGGCGGCCTCGCAGGGAGCCACTAGTCGCCAGATTCGCCGGCTGCCTGGACTGCGCTACGTGCAGTGGCGGCCAGGTGAGACCCTTGCACTCTTTTTAGTTGCTTTCCTTCTGCTCTCTGTTGAAACTCACGTGATGTACCTTTTTGCTACAACGCTGCCAGATGCCAAGGGCGAGCAGTGTTGCATCTGCCTTTCCGTCTTTCAGGACAATGATCGCATCTTGGTTTTGCCTTGCAGTCATGGTTAGCTTTCGCAACCTGTGGCGTCCTCGCTGACGTGTTTCTTCTGGTTCGGCTTTTTCTAACCTGGTTTCTTCTGCGTGCGCACCTGGCGTAATTGCAAATCAGGCTTTCATCACCAGTGTGTTGGCCAGTGGCTTCGGCAACAAAGACGCTGCCCTTTGTGTAATCGTGACCCATTCTCTACCGACCCAGCTGAGCAGGCCGAACCAACGGAGCGAACGCCCTTGCTCAACGAGACACAAGGAGATCGTCAGCCTGCGATTGCAGCCGCGGAGGGTTCTAGTACGGCGCTTGCAACCCGCCAATCACCTGCCGCTTTGCCAACGGGTGACTTGTAGACTAGTCTTTTGAGTGACATGGTCATCTGCGGTACCATCACATCCGTCCGTTGATCCCTGCTGGGGTCACCTTGCCCCTTTTTGTGTCCTCGCTGTCTTGCGGCCTGTCATTGTCGTGTTTATTGTTTCCTCTCTCTCTGATATACCTACTGCTATTGTCCCGTGCTGTCGGTCCTACACTGCGTGTACTCTGGCCCTTCTCGTGCGAACTTCGATGGCGAATGTGCTTTCCAGCGTAACTGCCTTGATGTTTGATATTGTATTTGCATGAATTTATCCTCAGTTCCCTCAAGTTGTTTGCTCGTTATGGAGTTCGCTTCACGTGCAACACGAGCATCAGCCAGTTTTTTGGGGCTCGTTCATTCCATAGCATGAGTGTGTGTGAAGGGGCGGGCGGGTGGGACGGAGCCCCCGCTGAAACACTGAATGTGGTACTGTGCGAACCTTGTCTCGCTAGCCCGCCCAACCCTCCGTTGATGGTTCGATGCGACCTAAACGATTCACGTGTTCAATGCTGTCATGTGCATTTCTGCGTGCTGCATGGTTTGTGAACTTTCCATGTACGCTCAACAACTTTGCAAAACAGCAACACGCGAACCAACAGAACGCTTGAACGCTTGACAACCATATCGATTGACAAGAGACGGATGCACACAGGAAAGAAGACACGGATACAAATGCATGCCCATTTTTTAGCCTAAACGTAATTCCAAGTGCGGGGATGCCGTAAACATAAGCGAAAACATACAACAACAGCAACAACAACAATCACACACACAAAAAAAAAAAAAGATTAAAAATTACACGAAAATTAGCCAAAATTCAGCATTGCTGGCATGCGTGCAAAAGAACCGACAGACACGGCCAATAAACACACGACAGCATGCAGCTCGTTCCAGGGTGCTTATCCCGCAAGGCTCTCATAAGCACCGCGCCGACGACGATGGATATAGGTCCCGACAACAGCACCCACGGCCACCACGAGCAACAGGACAACGACGACAATCACGGTCGTGTGTGACTTGCGCTTTTTCCTGCTGCCCGAAGCACACTCATCAAATTCTGACAGGCGCCACCAGAAGCAAAAGCCGTGAGGGCAAGCACTTGGTACATCGCCAAGGAGGTTGCAAAAAGGACGACACAGGCCCAAAGACACGAGGCAAAGCCAGCGCATACCTTGACCAGCCGCGGGCACAATGCTGGTGTTCACAACGTTGAAAGGCTGAAGCATCAGACCCTCAAAGGTCACACCAAACCCATCATTACTGGATGACGAAGAAAAAGCCACGTCCTGGCCGCAAGCGTAGCCATAGCCCTCGGCAGCACTCGGCCAAGCCTTGCTGTCTGAGGCGTTGGCGACATTGAGTGAACCCGAGAAGGTGACCGAACCTAACTGAGCGGTAAACTCGAAGCCCGCTGTATCCCACGTGGTAACAACTAGCAATCAATCACGAACATGAGCGCAGTAGCACCTGCAGACGTGTCAAACGCCAGGGCCCACAGCGAGCACGAAACAAACAAGGCACCCGTGGAATACGTGCCCAGATGGCCCAGGCCGTGGGAACGGCTGATACTCGCACATAGGGCACATGACAACGCGTGAAAAACATACCATCCTTCTTGACCGAAGCCACGAAGCTCAAGGTGATATCCAGGGCACGAACAGTGGCCTCGTCATCCGCAGAATCGGGCGAGGGAAGGTAGCGGAAGGCAATCTGACTGTAGGGCTGGGTGGAACTGCCACACAGGCTCTGGCTTGGCACGACTACGAAGTCGGATTGGCCCTTGTGGTGGTGTACGGTTGCTGATAGGGTGGAACCGTCTGGACTAGGCATGCGAATGGCGATGGAGCTAAAGTCGACAAGCAAGCAAGGCTGGCCGTTGGTGGCAAAAATTAGCACCGGCCCTTCGTCAGCCGGCGTCGTGGCCGGAGTAGTGGTTGTCGTACGAGTCGTCGTACTGGTCGAGGGGGCAGTGGTAGAGGAAGTGGTGGGAAGAGTGGTTGTCGTAGTGTTGCCATGAGGAATGGTCGTAGTACCATTACCGCCAGGAATGGTCGATGTGGTCGTGTCTACTGTCGTGGTGCTGTTGCCACCAGAAGGAGTCGTTGGCACGGCGCTTGGTGTCGTGGTGCTGTTGCCACCAGAAGGAGTTGTTGGCACGGCGCTTGGTGTCGTGGTGCTGTTGCCACCAGAAGGAGTCGTGGTGGAGGATGGTTCGGGTGACGGTGTCGTGCCCAGACAAGTGTCCAGTCCTGTACATGCGGGCGACAGTACATCAACAGGCGAGTGAATGGCAAAAGTCTCGCTGCACAGTGCTCATGCTCAAGGAGTCCTGAAATCGAGGTACCTTGGTCCGGCGCGGGCGCTATGGCATCACCCTTCAAATTGAAAGGCTGGGCCTGGAAAATGTTGACATGCAAGGAAAAAAAATCAAAATCGGTGGCAAAATCGAGTTCTGCTGGACACGCGTAGCCATAGCCATGCTCAGCTGCTGGCCATTGATCTCCATTGGGGCTTTGGGATCGCTCAAGTCGTTTGACAACGGGTAGCACGTCCAACGTGACGTTAGCCTCGATGGCGATCAGTTCCCAAGTGGTAACGACTGTATGTAAAGAAAATTGATCGCGAATACAAAGGAACAAAAAGATGAGAAGTAAGTCAGAAGAAAAAAACCGAAGAAAGAGAGGCAGGGAGAGGAAGGGGAAGAAGAACTGGGAGAAGCAGAGGGCAACGAACCGCCATCGACGACGTGGCCTTGAAACTCAAAAGCAAAGACATCATGGATGCCCGCCGCAAAGGCCAACTGTGCTTGCGGAGCATCTGATGTGGAGAGATTACCACAATAGCTCTGTTCTGCAAGGCTGATCATATCAACTCTTTTCCATTGCTTCGAAGCCTAAACAAGCCACCAAAGGGTCAGGTCAGAGCAAGAAGCACGATCGGGCTCGTGTCGGATCCACGTGAATGAGGGCAGCAATTTTTGTGAGCTGGCATTGTTTGTAACTCTCCGAGCACTCACAGTGTCCGTTGTGACGTTGATAAAGTCAAAGTCCATGGCGATGCACGGCTCAAAGATGGGATAGACGAGGGGTTTTTCCTGTAAACTGCTGGTAGATGGACCAGCAGTGGTGGTGGTGTTGGTGGGTCCAGGTGCCGTTGTGGTGGCGTTGCCGGCAGTGGGCGTGGTGGTCTCTGGGGCAGTGGTGGTTGTGTTGCCATCGTTGGTTGTGGGGGTGGCGGTGGTTGGTGGGGTCGCTGGCGTAGTGGTATTGTTACCAGCGCCGGAAGTCGTGGTGGTCGATGTCGAGGGAGCAGTAGTTGTGTTGCCACTGTTGGGTGTATCGGTGGTGGTGGTGGTGGTGGTGGAGGGGATGGCCGTAGTGGTGTTGTTGCCAGCGCCAGAAGTTGTGGTGGTGGTCGTCGACGGGGAAGCTGTGGTGGTGGGCAAGCACACGCCAGGGATGCCAACCTGAAATACGACATTGCTGATGCTCTCTGAGAGGACGGTAAAGTCTTTCGTGGTCAGAGGGGAGGCATCGGGCTCGCACACAAAGATGAAACTGGCTTGGATGTTGGTGATTGCCGTTTGATTGAACACAAGCTGATCAGTGCTGGGGTCGAAGCTGGCCGGGCCATTGCTGATTTGCGACATGGCTGTACACGAGGTCGAGACGGCACGAGCGACAGAAGTCTTTTGCGGCAGGTCATCGCAGAGCGTGTCGCCACGTTCAATACCATTATTCCAGGTCTGCGCCCGCCGGCGAACAGGCGATGAACAAGGTGGTCAGGTTGCTGTTCAAACAGCAGCCACTATTTGTGATCCGCCACGAGTTGCGACAACGCACCTTGATGTAGTAAATGGCCAGACTCGTCGTGATGGTCCAAGTCTTGGCTTGCCTGTTGCGTAACAGACAGGAAGGCATGAGACATTGCAGAGCGATGAGGGTCAAGGGAGATTACGGGCGATGGAACCCAAGCACACCGAGGGTTGGTAAAGGCAGAGAGGTCAAACACTGTGTCGCTGCAGTTGAAGACCATCTAAAGGGTAGGTCAAGAAAGGGTGTGAGCCATGCTCAGCCGAGGCGATGGGCGCCAACAACACCGAATTCAAGGTTCAACAATTCACAAAAGCTCCTCAGCGGTATCGGCGTACCGAAGCGGTCATCTCGCAAGAAGCAGTTTGAGCTTGCATCGGCTGGGCCACCAAGGCCAGCACGGCCAAAAGGCCAAGCCAGGATGCGAGGTGTCGCATCCTGGATCAAAGATTTCGAGATCTGGGCAGGCAAGTGCGCACAACAATGCATCAAGTGAGCGCAACGCAGCAAAATCGAGCTCACCCCCCACCCCCATCAAAAGCATGCGAATACGAGATACAAATAGCCAATGCAGCCTCTGCCCTCGCCCCTCTCACACACCACACGCCGACATGCACCCATACACACCACACACACACTTGTTCCCCCAAAAAAAGAAAAAAAAAAGCGCGCGCAACGTGTGTGTGTGTGTGTGTGTGTGTGTGTGTGTGTGTGTGCTCGACGAAAAACAAATTCGCTTGGAGGGCCATACATGTACAAACTTTCACTGCATTCGTGTTCCGGAGTGGTTATGGTCACTGTCTTCGCTTGGGTACAGTCCGGCCGCAGAATGGCGGATGGCAGGGGGAAGGCAAGAGGGTGCATCCAGCAGCCGCGAGCCCAGCTGATATCATACCACTTTTAGGTACATGTAGTCGGTTGGCTGAGCTCATCCAGACCAGACGCGGAAGGCCAAAGAGAGAGAGAGAGAGAGAGAGAGAGAGAGAGAGAGAGAAGCTTACTTACTAGGAGATTGGCCAATTTTAGCACACGCACACAGACACACACACACACACACACACACTGGGCAAGAAAGTTAGTTGACGCATTTTTCTTCTTCTTCTTCTTCTGCTTGAAAGAACCTCAAGAACACGGTGAGTCTGCTGCTGGTGGTGGTCGTGGTGCTAGTGGTGGTCGTGGTGCTTGAGTTAGGGTTGGTGTTGGTCTGGGCGTTTGCTGCCCATTAGGCGTCGATTCGCTCGTTTGAATCTCACAGCGACGCGGGCGTAACGTACGACAGAGGTATTGTGACCATCAAGCAGCTTTTGCACAGCATTGCAGACCGACGTGATGGCAACTGTGGCTGGCAAACCGCGTTGGCTTCCTCTGGAGAGCAATCCCGATGTCTTGAACAAGGTACCATTTCTATGCGTGGGCGCAACCGTGAACACCACAGCAATCGACCCAGTCTCCAGCTGACTGACATCACTGAATGGGCTTGCTGATTTACCTCACTGATCATGTAGTTTGTGAAGAACATGGGCCTTCGTGGTGATTACGAATTTACCGATGTCTTTGGCTTGGACCCGGAGCTGCTGGCCATGGTGCCCCAGCCAGTGGGGGGGGTGCTTCTGCTCTTCCCCGTGAGTGACAACTACATGGAACGCAATGCCGAGGAGGCCCGCGAGATTGAAGCCCGTGGCCAAACCGTGAGCGATCAAGTTTACTTTATGAAGCAAACCATCAGCAACGCGTGTGGCACCGTGGGCTTGTTGCACTGCCTCGGCAACAATCAAGCACGAGTGCAGTTTGAGGATGGTAGCTATCTTCAGCGATACTTTGCACAGTGCGCTGGCAAGTCTCCAGCTGAGCGCGGCAAACTACTGGAAGAAGCCAACGAGATCTCTTCCGCTCACGAGGCCAGCGCTCAAGAGGGCCAGACCGATGTACGTCGTGCTGCGTGTGATTTTTCTCGAGCTTCGCTGGTCGACGTGATCCGTTGCCACTGACCATTTGATGTATCGTGTCGTTCGCGCCCACGCAGACCCCGGCGCTCGAGGAGGATCAGACTCTTCACTTCATCTGCTTTGTGGAGAAGGAAGGCCAGCTCTACGAACTCGGTATGTCGAGGAAGAGAAATTGCGGTCTTTGCGCATGCTTGCAAAGCATGTCCACGTTCTTCGTCCATCTTCTTTTTCTTTTGCTTTTTTCTTACGCACGTCTCTTCTCCTCAATGCAGACGGCAACAAGGAGTTCCCCATCAACCACGGACCGACTTCGCCCGACACTCTGTTGCAAGACGCAGCCGTGGTTGTGCGTCGCTTCATGGAGGTCACGCCCGATGACATGCGCTTTACTGTCATGGCTTTTAGCAAGACCCAATAAACATACTCGCCCTTTTTTTCTTTTGGATGTAAATTGACAAGTGACGAACCTGCTTTGCCCGATTCGTCTTCGACCCTGGTGTACTGAATCGCAACTGCAGATCTGGCGCGCAGCGCCCATGCTTTGCCCAGTCGTGGGATAAGCGTCGTCTTTAACGACCGTCACGATGCAAAGTAACCGTACCAAGCCTGAGCATTCCCTAAGTTGGCTCATGATGGTAGGCAAAAACTTGCATCTCAGCTGGACGTGGCTCTGCAGCAGGATGAATCGAGTCAAAGCAGGCTTGACAGTACAATGCCGGGTTGCTCTGGCCCACGGGGTCATGAAGCACTGTCAGTCGGGCCTTACCGCCCCGTGGAACCAGCACCAAATCCATGAGTTGAAATGTTGTAGTTCAAGCAAAAATCATCCCCATGATGCATAGTCTTCAGGAACGAAACGTACAATCATTTTTCGACAAATGTGGCAATGGCTTCGCCCAAAACGCCGTTGATATACCACACGTGGGTAGGCACTTCTAATATGGGTACGGGCACGCAGACATGGCAGGTGAGATGGGGTCGGATACCAGTTGCTGACATGAACATCCCGCGACTTGCGCTAGACTCGCCGTTTAAGATCATCATCGGCGTGAAGGGCACGCAGCTCGGTAAACACGAGCAGATGTTGGCATCCACCTCGGTGTCGGTATAAATAGATGGCACCAGTGCGCAGCTGCAGTTCGCTGATGCTGGTCTAGCAAGCGTGAGCGGGGGCCCAGTGAGTCCAATGCTCCCAACAGAGCTGGCCGGCCCGTACCGCGTCCTTGATCGATTCCGCACCGTAGCAAGCAAGCCTGTTCGGAAGCAGGTGCCAGATTGGCGTGCGTGTTCAACAAGCGTCGCTGCTTCGGACGACGATAACTCGTCTGTACCTGAAACCAAAAGAAGACGGAAAAAACAAAAACAAAACTTGTGAGTAGGGCCTGACTCCAACCTGCCAACCCCTGCGGCGACCATAGGCATACCGTGAAAGAGTTGGTCCTCAATCAAGAGTAGAGCTCCTTGGCCTCGGTTGTGGTCATCAGCCACCACGTCATACCAGCACTCCAGCTACATGTTGTTGAGCAGACAAGGGTCCAGGAGGTGAGAGAGAGAGAGGGAGAGGCAATGTATATGTCCCAACATAAAGCGCACTGGTCAACCAGGGGCATGTTTATGTGCTGATGTGTAACGCAAGAGGTAGAAGATGACCTGGGCAACAAGTTCCGCAAGTGTATTGCTGTCATGGCACACAATCTCCCGCGTTAGCTTTTTTTTGCTTGGCTCAAAGAGCTGTGCCTTGAGAAGAACAGCATCGTGTGCGAGGCGCGTGGTTTGGGCTGCTTCAGGATCGGGTGCCTGAAGCACTGTGCCAGCTGCAGCGCGCGCCTGAAAAGCATGACCATGCGGTGGTGCCAAGAGTATCACAGTATCAGTCCGATGGCCGCGGAAAAGTCGCCGCTTACACCTCTGCCGGCCCACCGGTGCGCCAGGCTTCGACTTGGTGTCGCCACGGTGTTGTCCAACTTGCCAAAATCAAGAGATACGTACCACAGCTTGTTTCGCTGTCTTGGGGTGGGCGGCAGCCAGTCTCATGGTGGCCAGTGAACGACCCATGGGTGGTTGTAAAGCATCGTGGTCAGTACTGAATCCTGGGTGCCCCGGCACAAGTTGACTCGTGTCTAGGGATGGTATTGCGTCCAAGCCTGAGGCTTCGTCTAGCCACGTGCAAGTCTAACAACGCTCATTTTGTCAATTCAGACCGTCGCGCCTTGAGTGTTTAGCTCGTTCCCCGCCTTGCCACGCGTATACGCGTATGACCTTACCAGATCAAGGCTAGCAATCTGCCTCTTGAAGGCGCCCACCCCGAGCAGTGGGCCCGGGCTAACGTTGGAAAGCGCTGCTGCCATCGAGCAGCGAGAGTCAGAATACGTTTCCAAATAAATGAGCAAATTCAAAAAAAAAAAAAATAAATCTTTCAATTTTTCTGTCCATCATTTTGGGCAAAACATGCAAACGTCTTGCCAGCAAGGTGTAACGTGCGCTGGGCCAAATCGGTCGCGGCAAGATCCAAGAGTGACTTGACCGTGTTCGCACGGCCGTGCGAACAGTCAGCATGCAACGCTTTTTGTTTGAATGCAAGCACCAAGTACAGCAAACCAGGCCAGACGCCAAGTTGGCGCGCTTTTGGGTGGGGAGCGGCGAGGGTCAGGAGAAAAAAAAAGGCTTGATGATGAATTTAGTCACATGGGACAGATGAGCACAATGGGCGGGGCAGGCATTGATTTGAGACAAGCCTTGCAGCGAAACCCGGTTACAAACAGATGTGGCATCCTGATGATATGGGTATTGGTCTGCTCATTCGGGTTGGGGATGTTGCTTCTTCCATATGCGCATCTGCGAAGCGTGGCGGTTATCCAAACTGTTGAGTTCTTGCTGTACAGCTGCGGCTTGATCACCAGGCAGAGACTTGAGGAGAATGGCTCTGGCACATTGTAGCAATTCTCGCTGCTGGCGATCATGCTCCTTCTGCAGCTCAATCACATAGGCCGGCCAGCTAACAGCTGTGCTTGCGGTGCTGCTTGAGCTGGGAGCACCCATGGCATGGGTCGACGACCCTTGCGGAGCAGATGGTGCTGGTCCAGTGGCCGAGGGCTGGGTTGGTGGGGTCGCATATGCCGCACTGTTTGGCATTGGGGGCGCCGACTGAGGGGCGTGGTGTGGTCCTGGAAACACGGACCCTGCCGACTGAGCACTGGTCGACGACCCTTGCGGAGCAGATGGTGCTGGTCCAGTGGCCGAGGGCTGAGTCGGTGGAGTCGCATATGCCGCACTGTTTGGCATTGGGGGCGCCGACTGAGGGGCGTGGTTTGGTCCTGGAAAAACGGACCCTGCCGACTGAGCACTGGTCGACGACCCTTGCGGAGCAGATGGTGCTGGTCCAGTGGCCGAGGGCTGGGTTGGTGGGGTCGCATATGCCGCACTGTTTGGCATTGGGGGCGCCGACTGAGGGGCGTGGTGTGGTCCTGGAAACACGGACCCTGCCGACTGAGCACTGGTCGACGACCCTTGCGGAGCAGATGGTGCTGGTCCAGTGGCCGAGGGCTGAGTCGGTGGAGTCGCATATGCCGCACTGTTTGGCATTGGGGGCGCCGACTGAGGGGCGTGGTTTGGTCCTGGAAAAACGGACCCTGCCGACTGAGCACTGGTCGACGGCCCTTGCGGAGCGGATGGTACTGGTCCAGTGGCCGAGGGCTGAGTCGGTGGGGTCGCATATGCCGCACTGTTTGGCATTGGGGGCGCCGACTGAGGGGCGTGGTTTGGTCCTGGAAAAACGGACCCTGCCGACTGAGCACGTGACGACGCTTGCAAAGCGGATGGTGCTGTGTCCAGTGGCCAGGATGGGCCTGAGTGCATTGCGGATGGCAATGCCTCCTGTTGCTGGGGGTTGGGCCGCTGTGGACTGAACTGCGATGCCCAAGGGCGTGTTCACTGAAACGCTATTCGAAGGCAAGACCTGGAAGCTAGGGACGACTGAAGCACTTGGCACAGGGGCCGAAGCGTGGGTAGCCGAAGCGTGGGTAGGCGTTGTATTGGCCATGGAGGTTGCGGCAGAAGCAGCCAGTGGTGTTTGAATGAAGGTTGGCAGGGGAATGGAGTCATCGAATCGATACAGCACAACCTGTCGTGTACTGCCAAGCTGGTCAGCCAGTTGGCAGATTTCATTCAGATACGTAGGCCAATGGCCTCCAGCAATGCCGCAACCAATGCCCCAAGGAAAGGCCATTGAGGCAAAGGGCAACGAAGGCAGTTGAGCCAAGGCATCTTTAAAGAATCCCAAGCGAGCGGCCTGGTCATCCCTTGGCTCATGAGGCATTTGCGTTCGACGCGGGCCACCAGGGAAGACTTGGCCGACCAGGTTGACAATAAACTGTTTGTTGGTACTCGGGTCCAGGGCCGCCCGATGGATCTCACCAGGGTTGAGAAAAGGACCCCGCTGCTGGCCATCGCAGATGTTGGCATTGGGGTAGCGCTTGAAGATTTGCTGTGCGATGCCGCCAGCAGGGGTGTTGGTGGCATGAATCTGATGGATGAGACAGTCCTCTGAAAAGTCGAGAGCATTGCCATTTTTGATCTGGAGGTTGGCGGGCAGCGGGCGTGCCGGTGGTGAAGGCTGTGACATGATGCTCCGTCTGTGTCTGGTCAAGCAACAGCAAGGGGGTGCCAGAGGCAGAGGGAGATCGGGAGTTGATCCGACGCTTCTCTCCAACTAGAAAGAAGAAAATGCTTGCACCGGAATCTCCTCCACTGCGTCGTCGATCGATTACAAGCAGCGAGTGCGTTGTCGTGGAACTGAAGCAGATCCAGCTTTTGCTGTCGAGTTCGTCAGCTAATAATAGAGTTTTATGATGATGAGAGATTGAGAGAGAGATTTGAGAGATAGAGATTTAGAGAGAGAGGAAGTTTGAACAGAGTGGTGCGGTGTAGAAGTAAGGGGCGTATGTGGTTCTATATGGTGGCAGAGGGTGGGCGATTGGAAGACACGGGTTCGGTGTATACTCAATTTAGTTGCGGGTGAAGATGGGTGAGCACCACCGTACTGGGTCCGTTCCGCCCCGCCCCGTAACCCAAAAAAAGAAACAAAAAAAAAAAAAAAAAAAAGAACCTTCGGCAAGGAAGGAATGGTCCCACGACGGCAATTGAGGGAACTTTCTCATTCAAACAGATGGTCGGTCAACTGCTTGTGGCGGCAACCCGTGTCACAAGCATGATGTGCCTATATGCAAACAGAAAGGCTGCCTTTTCTAAATGCTGTCGTGCACGCGGCTCGTGTCTTTGGCCGTGTTGAGCCCAGTGCTGCGGGGCATGCCAGCCGCGCCGAGATGGGAGGAAAACTTTTGCGAACGTCCATGATATTGGGTGGGCATGGTGTGAACGTTTGGTGCAGTCATGCCATAATCGCTGCTGGAGGTCATGTACATGGGATTCTCCGCTCCCTTGCTTGTGCCATAGCCCTTGAACTGATCTGCGCCACGAATCGCTGTGAGCCTGAGAGCGCAAAATCACTCGCCGTGTCGGACGCAGCAGCATTCCAAAACAAAGACATGGAAGCATACCCGGGTTATCAAAGCGTTCGGGTAGGCGGCCCGTGTTGTACAGGTCTGAAGTTTTGAGGCTAGCCGCAGCCGAGAAAACAGCATTGCCCGCACCGGGGGTCTGGAAGAATGCAGCAAAAAGGAAATCATCGAAATGAGAAGCAGGAGGGGTGGAGGACACGAGTAGCGGGGCAATCGGGTAGAACGTGGTCGAAAAAGTTTGGGGACAGGGGCACGGCCGGTCACGTCTCTGCTAGCGCTGACACACACACCTGACCAGCTTTGTCTTGTGCCATTTCGGTGGTGGTGGTGAAAGCGACAATGAACTCTGCCCTCGGTGATGTCAAAGGCAGCAACGCGGATACAAGCTTTGTGAACCGTTCTTCTTTGGGATGCTAGAGCGCGCATGGGCGCCATTGTGATGGCGTGGTGGTGAGCTGTGCACCATGAAACAAACGAGCCAGAACGGGACGGCGCACACACGCATACAAGCCAGCCACAAAGACGCGCCAGCCCTTCACTGCTCAAAAATTGCATAAAATCCTTTTGCGACAACGGCACCGGCGGCCACGGCCTGCATGGCCGCCATCGGCCATCGCCGTTCCCTGCTGTGCCGGCCGCAGTTGACCCTTACCTCGCTACCAACAAAAACACAAGCTTTTGTCGTTGTTGTTTGCTCCTCTTGACAACGTCTGCGGGCCCCTTCTCTCCGTTTCTCTTCTGTTGGTGCCTCTGCCTCTGGTTTGCCTTATAATTCCCTTTAGATCATGGTCTTCTTTGCAGCCAACTCATGCTCTCTCTCTCGCGACTTGTCAGCATCGTGAACGCTTCTCTGAACGTTTTGTTTTTTTTTCGCTTTCGGCGAGTTTCTTCTGTTTTCCATGCCTGGAGGTGATCCCGCTTCTTCTTCTTCTCGGTCGGCGGTGCTTGGGTGGTGGGATGAGCCTTTGGGAATGCGGTGGGGGTTGCCAGCTGGACCATTGGTCCGCTGCAGGGGATGAGTGGCCCGAGTGAATGCAGCGTGCTATTTGAAGGAGTTGGGCAGAGCCCATGCTCATCGCGTTTGCCCGATGTTTGAGGAGATGTTTAATGGAGAAGGGAGGCTGGCCTTCCATCGATTCGCTGGCAACCTGGCTGGGTGCCGGAAAACGGCCACAACGGGAAAGATAGTCAACCATCAATGTTCTCTTCTGCAGAGGCTAATTGAGCATCAGGAGAAGCGGGGCACCATCGTCTGGTTAAGAGGCCTTCTCTCAATGCCGACTGGCCAGCGGAGAGCGGTGTGGTATGAGACGAGGAATCAGCGGTTGCGTGAGAGAGGCGATGAGGGGCACTTCTATTCAATGCTGCTGCTAAAAACAAACACAACACAAAAAAAACATGCTCTAGGGTAGTCAAGACACCCTCTGGTAGTGATCCGCGGATCGGCGCGGCCATTACGCTGCCAAGCTTAAGCCGACACCTGACGCGCCAGCACCACTTCGCCGTGTGCACTGACAATTGTATTGCTAAGTGGTAAACGGTAATCCAACGGACCCATCGTGAGTGCATGCCGCTGCTCGAACGAGTGCTCTCTCTCTCAAAGGGAAACAAGCGAAAGGGGGAAACAAGCGAAAGGTGGATGACATGTCACACGGCAGCAACAAAGAAGAGGAGAGGGTTGTGACGAGAAGAGGGGGGTCAACCACTGAGGCAGGATGGCAAGGCAGAATGACAGGCCAAGATGGCCTCAGGAGGGAGTGCAGATCCATGGTATACGACATGCAAGGAGGTGGGAGGGAAAAAAGTCATCAAGAACGACACAACACGGGCAAGGCAAGCAGACAGACTTGGTCGGGCAATGAAGAACAACGACGCAGTTGGCATCTCCCACAAGGCGCGTTGCACGCGCATGAAGCTGTGCTACAGCACCGGCCGGTGTCGATTCCAAGCTACCAGAGTCTATAAAGGACCCCCATTCGCCATTCGCAATGGAGGACGTGAAACCATGTCTTGATTAGTAAGGGTCAAGGTATGGCATCAACTGGTCAAGGGTAGGGCGTGCATCAAGATGCATCTCGGTGCGATCTCGCGCAGTGTGAGGTGGATGGTGCGTCGCCACGTACCGGCAAGCTTCAAACCGGCACGGTCGCATGTTAGCGAGCCCAGGGCACCCTCGGCATTTCTAAGCCACGCAACGCAGGTGAGCTTCACTGGAATTGATCACAGGAAAAAGCTAGAAGCAGACAGTCTGTGAGCAGGCCGGTGCCGTGCAACGAGCGTACTGTTGTGCGGCGGCCGTCAGTTTTTGGTCCATGACGTCGGTTGCTGCAGCACAAGGAGGATCCGATGAGACGGCAAACACAGTTGAAGCATTCACATGGCCACTTAGGGTCAAGATCCACGAAACATGTCCAAGCAAAGGCTAAAAAAAACGCCACGCTTCCCGTCCTGCACTCGGCACTTGGTCCAGCCATGCCTTTCCGCCGCCCGCCGCCCGCTGCCATCCTGCTGGCGCCTCCAACTTCACACACACACACACACACACACACACACACACACACACACACACACACACACACACACACACACACACACACACACACACACACACACACACACACACACACACACACACACACACCACACGAGAAAAATTAAAATCAGAAGGTGGTTCCGTATTTTTGAATTATTTAGGTGGAGACAACAATTGTTGACGACAACACTCTTGGCAACAGAACGCGCGAGTCGATCCAACAGAAAAAAAGAGGCGGCGACCGTGTGGAACGGAGGCGTCGGCGCTCGAGGCAGTCAGCACCGACAAGCCTGGCTGAGCAATCTGGTTGTTTTACAGCTTGTGTCAAGCAACACAAAGCAGCCCTTGCCCAGGCATTGGCGGTAAAGGCTCATTCCAAAGCGGCAACATGAAGGTTGACAATCAAGATGCTGCTAGCCTCAAGGAGCACGCGGCCGCTGATGCAGCGGCCGAGGCGCTGAAGAAGCTTCCCCCAATTCCCGATGAAGCACAGGTGGGCCTTTCTGACGCATGATACTCTTTGACTTGTTCAGAAAATCGCTGCAAAGCCTGTTTTTCCTTGTTTTGGCAGACCTACCGACCTCCGTGCTCATGTCATGTCACGCGCGCTGTTAGGATCTTGAGCCAGCGCAAGCTGCGCGTGCGCTTTCTCGTTTGGACTGGACTGCGAATGGCCAGCATCAGGCTTACTTGGATATGAATCTAGAGCAGCACAACCTCACTGCTGTACCTTGTCTGGTGCGCTTTCCTCACTTGCAAAAAGTCAACATTGCCAGCAACTACCTCGAGGGTACGCCTAAGTTGGGCGGACGACCAGATCGCACCGGGCAACAGCACGACAGGCTGGCCCCTTTTGGTGCTCGCGCCCTATCCCTAGTGCTCTTGACTTTGTACTTCTTTCTTGGTCTGCGTAGATCTTGAGCCCCTTAGCGCGCTGGAGCATCTGCTAGAGCTCAACTGCGCTCACAATCGCCTCCAGTCATTCGATCTTGAGGGACCTTGTCAATTACGCGTACGTCGATCGGCACCACACTCTGGCTCTGCAGGCTACGGCCTTTCCTGTCCCAGATGCCTATTTGCATGGCTAATGGAGCTAATCCGGCCGGACATGCTTCACTCAGACCCTGTTCTTGCAACATAACGTCTTGCACCACGTGCCCGGCTTGAGCCATCACCCTTGGCTGACAACGCTCAATCTCAGCGGTGCGCCTCTCTGCACGCTTGCTTGCCAGCCTCTTCTCATGTCGTCTCACGCCCCTCTCTCTTGGCTCTGACAACCTTGCTCGACGCCTCACCCGAACCCAATGCCTGTGAATGCCTCGGTCTGCAGGCAACCCGTTGCAGGACACTCGTCCCCTGCAAGCGCTGACGCGTCTCCAGAGCCTCGATCTCAGCCATTGCAATTTGAGCGAACTGAGCTCTTTGACCAATCTGACACACTTGCAGCGAATCAATCTGGTAAGGACAGTGTGTGTGTGTGTGTGTGTGTGTGTGTGTGTGTGTTTGCTTTCTTGCGTGGCCCGAGAACTTGTCTGGGGCCGGCGTGCAAGTTTCATCTGTCGGTTTGACCGATCCATCCCCAGAGTCACAACCGATTGACAAATTTTGAAGCTCTGCGTGCATGCGTCGGCCTCGAAACCATCGATGCTGATCACAATCAGGTGCGCCAAAGGGATCTACTGTGGCTGCACCTCCTTTCGCACATCTCAGCGATTCGCTTACTCCTCATATATTTTATTTCATTCTGGATATCGTCGTTGCCTCTCCATATGGCATTCAGCTATCGTCGACCGAACCACTCGGGGCTTTGGTGGCTTTGGAGCGACTCAACCTGAGTCACAATGCCTTGACTCAAGTGTTACAACTGCGCCACCTCGTCACACTTCCGTGGCTCACAATCCTAGACGCTTCTCACAACGCTGTGCAGGTAAGAGGGCAGCTCAGCACAACATTCAAGACTTGAGGGCATCATATCCATTGATTCCGTCATTGTGTTTGTGTGCGTGCCTGTGTGTGCGTGCCTGTGTGTGCGTGTAGGCAGAGGACGACTACCGACCTCGCGTCATCCACGCCCTCAAGCGGCTGCAGATGCTCGACAACGCAGCCGTTGGTCTCGAGGAGCGAGTACGTAGTCCTGCCTCGACTTAACCCCGCGCTACCCACAAGTCACTGGTCTCGGGATTAGCCTCATTGGCTGACGGGGACTATTGTAGGTTGACGCAATGAACCTTTGCGAGCCACCCTTGCCCATTCTGTCTGCTGCTGCGCACGCAGCCTGCGTGGCTGCCCAACTTCACATGGACATTGCGGTCAGCTTTTACTCGTACTTTGGTGTTGTTGCTTTCATTTTTGTTTTGTGTCCTGAAAACTGCTGATGGCCTCAGCTAGCCGTAATCGTCGCTTCTATTTGTTTCTTGGAACTCACGGTATCTCCAACTCACGGCATCTCCAATTACACGCAGCTGTTGCCAAGCACACTTCAGGACTACACCCTGTCTTACCCACTCTTGGCCGTTGCATCAGACGACTGGAAGCGTGCAGCAGTCTTGCTCGGTCAACTTTGGAATCAGCCGAATGCGCCCGTGCAACGTGCTCGCCTCTGGTGAGTCTTGGACTGGGCGTCAGCTCTCCGGTTTGGTGTATATCCTTGGGCGCCAGTGCATCGCTCAACAAGCTCGTGTGGATCTATGGGGTTTGAATAGCGAGGTTTTGAGCGAAGCGACGGACGGCCCGGCCTTTGCAGCTGCCTTGGATAGCGGCGCCGCAGCCCTGGCTGATACAGAAGACGGCTCTGGTCGCTTGGTAGTGACCGTTGATTCCATCGAGAATGCCTGCCAGCAGCATGAGCTTCCTGTGGTGGTGGGAAGCGTCGTTTTGGCCTCGGTTTTGCGTCGAAGCATCTACGATGTCTCCGTTTTGGCCTTGTATTTCGATGGGGTGAGTTGCGATGCTCTATCCTAGTGCCTTGCGGCTCGAGTGTGAAAGGTCTCCGTGTTCGAGCCCCTTTTTTGTGCCGGGATTGGTGTGCATTTTCAGACATGGCTTTTATTGCGCCCTCGTAGTCAAAAATTGCTCCGACCGAGCAGGCACTGTACGACCACGTGGTCATTTGGAATGAGCATGATGCTAAGGCATGCACAGCTGGCATCGTGGAAGCCATTGAGGCGGCTCAGCAAGAACTCCGGGATGCACTGCGTTGAAGTGACCCATCGTAGCTCTGAATTCACAGACCGAGACCGCTGCGCGGTCACGCTGCTAGCCTATTTTTTTTGGTATGAACACAAACTGGCGTTCCTTTGTGCTCAAAAAGTGAGCAAAGATGGAAGAGTTTGTCCACCGATTGCAATGTCATGCATCATACACAATAAGAGTGTTATGATCATTATCATGTGATCGATTAGTTCATGTGTTGGAATCAAAAAATCAAGTGTGAGGGGCATGCGTTCCCACTTCTCCCATTCGTGCTTGACGAAACCTCTGCCACGCCTGTGCTGCTCAGCACCAAGACATGTCTTCAACGCATGAGAAAGTTCCAGCTCGGCAGGAGCTGCAGCTGGCGCAAGGTGGGCGTGCTTAGATCGGGGTAGCCATACCTAAGAACATGGTCAAGATGACAACCCATTAGTCGGATCGCCCACAGCAGCCAGCTGAAAGCGACGAATCTTACGTTATTGGCGCAAACAGCAAAAAGACCACCAGGGCCAAGGCAGCCACGATGCTGTAGATAGTCAAGGCACGCCTTTGAGACACTTTCAGACTGACGCAAAGCTTCTCGAGGCCAAGGACAGCCAAGCAGGAACTGTGAAAAGAAAAGAAAAAAAATCAAATAAGCAAGTAAAGTTCACGGCCCGAGCGTGTGAGGTCTCTTGCGCTCTACACTGGATTGCAATCCACGAAAAGGGGGATACCTCAGGCATAGGGCCGGCCAATAGCTGTGTAGAAACAGCTGACGCTCCATAAGCACAAAAGGTAAGTACAGGATAAGCCATCCAGCGCCCAAGACGCCCACGCCCCAGGCCAACCTGCGGAAAAATGCTGTGTGAGTAAATAAAATACGTGCTCGAAACTCCCGCCTCGACTCTAAATCCACGACCAAAGCAAGCGTCGGAACACACTGGGTGGCATGCCCGACGGAAAGCTGCTGCATGCGCAACCCCAGCCAACGCGCGGGGCCCACAATGAGCCAGAGCATGATCGTGCCGCTTGCACCCAACAAAACAAGCCACCACACTAGCGGATTTCCTAGAAGATAGATCTGTTGGTTGTTCTACCAAGCCCAGAATACATGAGCCGAGCAAATCTTTCGGGCTAACTGCGTTGATCCTCCTGCATCGGGTAACAAGCACCAACCTCTGGGTGTTGCCAAAAGGAAATGCCTTGAAAGACAAGTGGCCAGATCAAGGGCGGGCTGCTATACGCGTGTGCTTGCTAAGGGCGATGGGCCAGCAGACGGAAGTGAGCAGTTTGTGAAAATGTGGTAGTGGCTTGCTTCACACGTTGGGCGATGCAAAGCAAAAACTACCAGGAAGCACAGTGCGAAGTCAAACGCAAAAATGTGGGACAGATACACGAAAGCAATTCAAGAACGACCAACCTTGCTCAAGCGGCTCTGGGCCTCGTACATGACTTGGTGAAGCTCAACGAGCTTTCCCCAAAACGATATCTCTGGCACGTGTTCCTTGGATGCTTTGGGCAATTGGTCATGAACATGATGGTCTGCAACCCACTGGACCATTTGCTTGGGGGTGGGGAAGACAAATGATGCGAAAGCCAATCCACAGTCAAGGCAGCAAGGGACGATGGGGTTAGTCTCTATTCCCCAACGAATGCGAGACTGTCCATGCAAGGGTTGACACCTGATTAATGTCTCGTGTTGCTGCAACTTCGAGTTGAAAGAAGCCCCAGCTAGGCAGATTCTGGCCTGATATCAGCAGAGCAGCACTTGTGTTTGCATGGACAAAGCGCAAAGCGCTTCGAAGGGCCAGTACTTCTGGTTCTGTTGTATCCGTCACCTACATGCAAGGATTTAACCCCAGACCCAATGCATTGCCGGGAGGAAAGGAAGACGAAACAAAAAAAAACAACAACAAAAAACAGATATGAAAGTCAAGCTCAAAGCAGCGTTCAAGGGCGAGCAGTAGCAGGCTAGTGCCTCGGAGAGAAACAAGAGGCGAGCACAAACGTCAATGCGCCAGATATCCATCTTGGGCTGGTGGCCAACTTGACCTGGGGGCACGCGGTGATCCCCTGGTGCAAAACATGAAACTTCCTGCAGAGTAGGCGTCAAGGGTGCGGCCACATCGTGGCTGCATGACGGCGATGGCAGGGTGTTTGTGTAGCAAGAGGGGCATGATGGTGAAAGGAGTTGGAATGCAACGTTCATCAATGGGGTGGAAGGGTTCAGGATATGCAAAACACGCGCATACATCTCGTATTAGTTGTGTGCGCAGTTTTCACGGCGGCAGCAGCAGCAAGGGCAGGACGGCATGGCGTACGTGTGCAAAGGCAAGCCAGTGGCGACGTGAACCAGGCGAATCAGATCACCATGATAGAGAAGTTGAGGTAAATCAGAGGGAGTGCTGATTAATGGCTTAGCTGCCAGTGAAAACTCGCCTTGGCGAACAAGTTCCAGTCGCCAAAGACTGTTATAGTCGTTGGTGAAGGAGAAAGCGGTGACTTGTTGCTGATGACTACTGACTAAACCGTCGGTGCCGTTGGGGTAGACTGGGTATCGGTGAGCGTGTGAGTGGAGCCAGGCCGAGCTGCCATGCAGGGATCTAAGGCTGACGACTGAACCGTTGGCCAGTTGGGGCGGGCCATCCAGCGGTAGGTTATGAATGTTGCCGTCCAGTGAGGCTTGAAACGGCTTGCTGAAAAAGGCATCTCCTAGTTGTGGTTACCAAAGTCGGGAGCCGGGGCAGGGCATGGGCAAGGGGTGCCACGGCGAGCCGGGATGGGCAGCATGAACTTACATACGTGTGTACGTGTGTACGTGCGTATGTGTACATGTGCAAAGAAGGTAGCTCTTACCAGTACCCGAGCGTGGCAAGAGGGCAAGGTGGAGAGCAAATGTGCCCACATAGATGGCCAAGGGAAGGGCAACGAGGCAGATACTCCGAAGAGCAAAGTCAGCGAGCCATCGCTGGACCGTGGCCCGTGTCGGCTTGTGGAGCACTTCTTGCAGTCTTTGTCCGAGATCGTGGAGTGTGATCAAGCCGACAATGCCCACAGCACCCAGGCCCACCAGCTTGATGCTAGTGGTGATGCCTAGGCCAAGGCCCGAAAGGAGCAAGCACAGCAGCCAGGATCGACTGAAGCGCGGAAAGCGCGTCATCCACACGCAGGCAGTAATGGTGATCAGACAGGCCAAGACCAATTGGGCATCCAAGATGATGAGGCGTGACAGGATGCAGCTGGCATTGTCCACGGCAATCAGCCAAGCACCCAAGTTACAGGTCCATCGGGAGCAGCCCAGGCCACGCAAGAGCTGGCAGCAGAGCAAGGGGGCAAGCGAACGCAGTCAGCTTGCGCACAAGTCATGGGTGCGCCCTTTGGGTTTGATCCAAGCACACGCAGTTGCTTACCAAGTAGATGACCAGTACAATGGCAATGCCGCAGCTGGCGCTCACGAGCCGCATCAGCAGGTATGGCACGGTGGAGCCGTCGTAAGCTACGAAAAATCCCAAGAGTTCATGTTGAGAGTAGGCATTGGTGAGAGGCGCCTGGCAAGGTGCAAAGGGGTGAACGATGACAAAGGTTTACCATCGCCAATCTTGCTCATTGTAAAAGCCGTCTTTTGACCGCCCAACCAGGCCACAGCTGCAAAGATGAGCTTGCCGAGCGGCGGGTGCAGATCAAAGAAGAACCGGCCCTGAAGCACGTGGTCCAACGAGTCGGGTGAGCGCGGTGTGATGTGACTGTATCGGCCAAGGGAAACGGCCAACCCAATCAAATCCCCAAGTAAGGGGCTCACATCAGACTGACCCTAATGTATTCGCCAGCAAAGCGGCCGAAATGAACCTCATCCCAGACGGCTTGCGAGGGCGCGTGGAGAGCCCAGAGGCGCGTGATGACGGTAAACGCCAGCACGAAGATGAGCGTCATATCCAAGCGCAGCCGGACCGATCCCCCGGCAGGTGCTGTGACAACGTCTTTCTTTTCTGGCGTTGGATCCCGCGGTGACGGCTCAGCCTCTGGGGCAGCCGCCCGCCCGCGGCGCTGCCGCAGCACTGTCCCCGAACCCTCTGCCATGGCTCAAAAAAAAAAAAAAAGAGAGAGAGAGAGAGAGAGAGAGAGAGAGAGAGAGAGAGAGAGAGAGAGAGAGAGAGAGAGAGAGAGAGAGAGAGAGAGAGAGAGAGAGAGAGAGAGAGAGAGAGAGAGAGAGAGAGAGAGAGAGAGAGAGAGAGAGAGAGAGAGAAAAAAAAGG